AGAAAACTGTTTCATGGGTTCATTTTCTTCTCATTTAAATGTTTTAAGACTACGGCAAAAAGTGTATGGACACTTGACCATGACATCTAGATGAGCTTGTTGGACGTCATATTCCAAAACCATGGACACTTCATTCCAGTTCATACCAAAGGTGTTTATTGAGGTTGAGGTCAGGGCTCTGTGCAGGCCACTGGAGTTCCTCTACATCAAACTCGTCAAACCATGTCTTTATGGAGCTAAGCCGTGCTGGAACAGGAAAGGTTCTTCCCCAAACTGCTGCCACAAAGTTGGAAGCTTATAATTGTGAAAAATGTCTTTGTTTGCTGTATTATTAACATCACCCTTCACTGTAACTAAGGGGCCCAAACCCTGACAAACAGTCCCCAGCCCATTATCCCTCCTCCACCAAACTTTGGCACTATGTATTCCACCAAATCAAGATTCATCCATCAGACTGACAAATAGTGAGTAATGATTCATCACTCCACAGAACACATATCCAGAGTCCAGTCGTGACACTTCAACTGACCCTTGGCATTGAGCATGGTTATCTTAAGCAGATCAAAAAGTTCAAACTGACTTGTAACAAAGGTGGCATCCTATGACAGGGCTATGTTTAAGGTCCCTGACCTCTTCAATATGACTCACTGCCAAGGTTTGTGTATGTAGATTGCATGGCCTGATTTTATACACCTGTTAGCAATAGCTGTGGCTGAAACACCTAAACTGAATAATTAGGATTGGTGTCCACATACTTTTGGCTATATAGTGCATATATACACTCACTGTCCATTTTATCAGTTCTACCATATAAGAGCACTTTGTAGTTCTACAATTACAGACTGCAGTCCATCTGTTTCTCTGCATACTTTGTTAGCCCCCCTTTACCGTGTTCTTCAAAGGTCAGGACCCCCATAAGACCCTCACAGAGCAGGTATTATTTGGATGGTGGAACATTCTCAGCACTGTAGTGACACTGACGTGGTGGTGGTGTGCTAATGTGTGTTGTGCTGGTCTGAGAGGATCAGACACAGCAGTGCTGCTGGAGTTTCTAAACACCTCAATGTCACTGCTGGACTGACAATAGTCCAACAACCAAAAATATCCAGCCAACAGTGTCCTGTGGGCAGCGTCCTTTGACCACCGATGTAGGACTAGAGGATGACCAGCAAAAACTGTGCAGCAGCAGATGAGCTATCGTCTCTGACTTTACATCTACAAGGTGGACCAACAAGGTAGGAGTGTCTAATAGAGTGGACAGTGAGTGGACACAGTGTTTAAAAACGTGTTAAAAAATATTAAAAGAATATATGCTGTTCACAGCCTTCTCTTAGGTTTTATTCAGTTGTGTATAGAAATCAATGGACTCCTCATTCATGATTTAGTTTCCACCTTCATCCTCTAGATGGCAGTACAATCTTAAAAATAAAGGCACCAACATAAAGTTCTTTGGCACAGTACCATTGAAAAAGAACCTTTGAATAATGTTTTTTCAAAGAACCATTTAAGTGTCAAAGTGTGAAAAACATTCTTTATATTTTCACAAACTCCACATCTAAAAATATATGAAAAATATATAATTCTGAGCTTATTAAAGTTTTTTCCTCGAACAATATGTTTAAGCTGAGATTCCTGTAGGAACCATTATGTTTTAAAAGTGTAGAAACGTCTCAGCTCAGAAATTCTCACACATGATGATAACACAGTAGTGTTACGAACACTAATACATATGAATAATACATTAAATGATATAAAATGAGACGGAAGGACATGAGCACTATTGAATGTGTGCAAATACAGACAGTTGTATGTGTGCACTGAAATTAATTTTTTTTTTTTTTTGCTCCTGAAATATATCTTTTGTTTCTGACTTGTACTTGCCAATTGCACTTTTTAAAAAGGGGCGGGTCTTTGAAGAGGACTCTATTATATATCTATTGGTCAACTGATTTGGAGTGACAGGACTTCTGAACACGTAACCACTCAGCGCAAACCGCCCCCAGCATGCCGGAACACGTACTGAGCGCTGCCATGAGTGCAGCATTGTACTGGCAAATCCACATTCTGAGCAGTGTTTGTCATATTCCTTTAAAGTTACTAATGTAACATAGATTTATGGCTCATTTGTATTTATGATTGAATGAATCTGTACCATCTTTCGAGTTTGCAGATGCTAGTGCAAGCTAGCCATACTGGTAATGGAACTAAACTTAAATGTTAGTTTATTTTTATTATATAGACGTATTGATCATTAATTCAAATTTGATCAATACTTTTTTAGACACAGGCAAATTTTACATTACTTTCATTTTACTTCACTACTGTCTTTAAAAAGCTGTTCTTGTAGACCCAAATCTAAAGTGATGTCACCATGTCCTGCTCCTGCCTCACCACTCAGATCTGAACCCACCCAGCTTCTGTCACAAGAGGAGGCATCAAGGCAAGAAGGACAGGAGTGTTTCTTGAGGTTGTTTATGCACTAATATCTCACATTCCAGTGTATAGGAGAATTTATTGAGGCTGGTTATAGGCTAATATATTTATTCTACTGTGCTGGTGTGTTTTATTGAGGTTATTTCTGAAGCTTATAATGGCAATGACTGGGAGACATGGGGGCGATTGGTAAGAAAGGCCTACCCGAATTAGAATGGTGAATTGTTATTGAATTTCTGTGATAGGCATGGATTGTCCATAACGAACACCAAGTTTGAACACGAGGACATTCATAAGTGTACGTGGCACCACAGCTCCTTGGGTCAAAGGTCAATGATCGTCTTTGTTGTCGATTCATCCAACTTGGGACCATATATTCTGGACACTCGGGTGAAGAGAGGTGCTGGGCTGATCACCAACTGGTGGTTCAAAACTTTCATCATGGAAGCCGCCAGGCATAGCTGTGGCCAAAAGTTTGCTGGACCTGTCAGGGCGGTAACCCAAGAAACCCCTGGTGGATACAGGCGGTGAGGGGGCCGTCAAGCTGAAGAAGGAGGCCTTTAGGGACTGGATGGCCCAGAGGACTCCCGCCTCAGCAGATAAGTAGTAATGGGCAAAAAAGGCGGCAGCGGTGGCTGAAGCAAAATCCAGAAGAGGTGAAGAAATTCTGACTTTAAATGAGGATATTGTTGGTTGGTGTAAGGAGCGCTTTGTGGAACTCCTAAATCCGAGAGACATGCCTTCCTCACAGGAGTCAGGGCCAGAGGCTTCTGGCGTGCCAGACTCCATTTCCCTGGTGGAGGTCACTGAGGTAGTCGGTGAGCACCATAGGTGGATGAGATTTGCCTGGAAATGCTAAAGGCTCTGAATGTTGTGGGACTGTCATGGCTGACATGCCTTTGCAATGTTGCATGGACGTCGGGAACAGTACTGTTGGAATGGCAGACCAAGGTGGTGGTCCCTATTTTTAAGAAAGGGGACTGGAGTGTGTGCACTAACTACCAGGGTATCACTGCTCAGCCTCCCTGGGAAAGTTTATGCCAAATATATCTTAGGGTCTTATTCACAAGTGATGGGAAGAGCAATTGGTAGACCGGCCACAGGCTGGGACAGGTGACAACAGTAATGTGGTCACTGTACTGGACTGTAGTGGTGAAGAGGGAACTGAGCCATAAGGCAAAGTTCTTTGTTTACCATTCGGTCTACATCCCAACTCTCATCTATGGTCATGGGTAATGACTGAAAGAATGAGATCACAAATACAAGTGGCAGAAATTAGCTTTCTCAACAGGGTGACAGGCTACACTCCACATTGAGAGCCACTTGAGGTGATTTGGGAATATGATCAGGATGCCCCTGGCCACCTCCTGGTGGAAGTTGACCAGGCTCGGCCTACTGGGACAAGGCACTGAGGTCATCCTATATTATATTTTTTAATATTATTATTTTTAAACATGTCTTGTGTAAATACAAACATAAATATTCAAATAACAATAATAAATAACATCTGAAATTCTGTTTTTGCCATCATTATTTAATTATGAATAAATAGAAATAAGTAGACATATATTAACAATTTATGTCGGTTATAAAAAATGTGAAAATATAAAAGGAAAATGAATAAATTTTCATACATGATTAGTTCTTTATTGCTTAATTACTACATAAGAACTAATAGATGTCTTCTAAAATATTGTTATTTTAAAGTGATTCATCTCTTTCTTTAATTACATTTGTGTTACATAGAGAACACAGCAAAGATTGCTCAGTGCTGCTGTTACACACATTGTGGTCTAGATGGCAGTAGAGTATTTCTGACAAAGACCAGCACAAAATGAATGACAAGAGCATGAATATTCAACAGTGGATTCATATATATTCATTTGCTAATAGTCTAATTTGTAGAAACCAGAGGACAATTATGTTGCTGAAATCCTCTCTAAGTAGCACTGCTGATTTTTCACCAGGTTTCTCTCTTATTTACAGTTTCTTTACTAACGGGAGCAGATCTTAGATTAGCGCGGCTACTCTGAGAGGCTTTGATCTTATTGTTGTCCAGGAGAAACTACAGAGACATTAAGTAGATCTCATTTGACTTTTCTTTCTGATGAGTACTTTCAAATACAGTGACTGAAATGGACACTTATACATATCAGTACAGTTAAACAGTGGTGGAGACACTGAAACAGGCCAAACGCTAATGAATGACAACACGAAGCTGCTTTAAAACAACTCGAAGACACTGTTTAGTCCGCTGAATTTCATGCTCATATACGTATTTACACCACATCTTGCTGGGACCTCTTTCTTTCTCAGCGCCAGAAAGGGGAAGTGGGTATGACATCAGTTTCTTTTTAAGATGTAGCTGAAGATGCAGCCCAGTCAACAGAGTCACACAGAGTCAGGATGTACGTTTCAGGGCCTCTGATATCTGAACTCAGAATGAAGATCCTCCTCATCTTCACCCTCTTCCTGATTTCAGGTAAGGAGATGCTCTTCTAAATAATCATCACCATCAGCAGAGTCAAATGAAGCCTTTACTTAGATGGACATTTGTCCTCTTTTAGTAGGTGGAGGAGAATCAGAGAGAGTGACAGGATATTCAGGAGGAGGAGTCCTCATCAAGTGTAGATACGACACAGGATACACATCAAACCCAAAGTACCTCTGTAAGGGTTCATGGTCAAAATGTGCTGACCAAATCAAGACAGGAGTTAAAAATGAGCGGATAAATAAAGGAAGATTTTCACTGTTTGATGACACCAGAGCTGCAGAGTTCTGGGTGTTGATCAGAGAGCTCACTGTAGAGGATTCTGGAACGTACCACTGTGGAGTTGACATAGATTGGCAGCGAGATGCCCACAGAGAAGTGGAACTGAACATAACAGAAAGTGAGTATCTCCCATCACTGCATTTGTTAACTTCCAACATTAATTAACATCAGCTACTGTGAGAGTGAATGTACAGACTCACACAAAGATCAAAAAGCAGGATTTCTTTCCATATAGTGCTGTAAGATGACACACTCATTTTAACAGTTTTACCACAGAGTCGCTCTCTTCAGAGACTCCTTATCAGACCTTCCAATCTCTGATTGGATGAATCCTCTTTAACCCCAGCTGTGGAAATATGTTTACATACAGTAGTTGTTTGTATGTAGTGATAATGATGGTGTGATTATTAGATTGTGTTTATAGTACTTGGCATTTGTCAAGTGTTGTAAGACCTTGAATATGATGTTAGCAGATCAAGTTTCTAATGTAAAATTATTCCTCTGTGTTTGTGTGTTAAGCTGTAGTGTAACTATAGACATGCTTCCGGACTCAATATCCTTTTACTCATAAATATAATCTAAAAATACTTTCAGAAGAAGAGTGTGACGTCCAGAGAAGTGACAGAATATGCAGCAGGAAGAGTCATAGTCAAGTGCAGACATGAGCGCTAACAAAATTACAAAGAACCCTGTAAAGTCAGAACAAATCAGTGTTTTTTGGTGTAAACTGTGAAGATGAGTGTGTTTTTTATTTGATTGTTTATTATTGACAGATCAATCCTACAAGAAGAGAATCAGTGTGACTGGCCATGTAGGAGGAAGTGTAAACATCAGCTGCAAATACCCACAATCCCACAGTACTGACCCCAAGTTTCTCTGTAGGAGAGTGGGCACTGCTGACTGCAATAATACAATATCTCTTAATGAGAGCAGAAGATGGATAAATGAGGGAAAGCTGTATCTACATGATGATGGAAAGCAGATCTTCACTGTGATCATCAACAGTCTGTCTGAGGGAGACTCTGGTGAATACTGGTGTGGAGCTGAATCAGACTGGACATCTGACCATGGATACAAGGTTTATATCACACAGATCAACCTCAGAGTTACTGGTGAGTTGATATGAATTAAATCAATCTGTTTACTTTCAGACACTTTGTTTTGAATATTTTTTGCAGTCGGGAAGGAACATGTATACAGGATTATAATTTAATCATTGAATTTCAGGGAATCTGCAGTCTGGAGAAGGTCAGTCTAATGAAAGCTGTTTGATTCACAATCTGGCATTCAAAAATTTTGTTTGTGTCCTCAATTACACATAAGACATGCAATAACAATAAGACTAATAAATAAGTATATAATAGTGAAAGAGTTTATAGTCTGTCATACAGAAAATTGTTCTATATAAGGGGTAAGGGCAGCTTAATGACATCATAAGATGACATGTCTAAGAAGTTTTTTTAATCTCCATTAAAAATGACCAGCAACATCATCATCAAGCTCAACTCCACAGAGCACAGAAACAATCTCCTCTACAGCATCTACAACTAGTCCCTCATTTAGGACTTCAACAGGTATAATATTCATACTGTATATATCCTGGTAAACTGAAGTCGGTCAGCAATAATGTACACAGATACTTTAAACAAACTGACATTTATATCCTTCAGCTGCAGATATTCTGCCACAGAAACGAACACACATCAGTTTAGTGTCCACAAAACCAACTACATCCTCAACTCCAAAAACCACATCTTTATTGTCAGCTAATAATGTATTACACTTAATATACAGCACACACAAGGAACATCGGCTCTTATAATGTGAGGTTGATCATTTTTAAATAATCAGATTATTGTTGGTGATTGATTCTCTTAATCTAGTTCTGATTCTCCACCTCCAGCATTTCCAGCTTCCTCTGTGGTTACTGGTATGTCTGTTATTCTGGTGCTGCTTCTGGTTGGACTCTTATTCTTCATAGTTACTCTTAAAAAGAGAAGCAAGACTCAAGGTAGCATCACACACAGAAACATGCACACACACAAAATAGATACACAGATATTATGGCATTATGGCAGTATCCTCCATTGTAATCATAGTGTCCAAATTTTATACAGTTCCTGGACATATGTTTAGTTTCCCACTAAAAATTCACTAGGCCTCAGTGGACTAACAGTGATGGACAAACGCTGCCCTCTGCTGGATGTAAATTTCTCACAGCAAATGTACATCCTGTGTCTTTTAATATATCACTGCTGTCAGAACAAAACCTCATATCTCCAAAATGATAACTTTACAGATGAAGGGAAAAAACATACTTTACTTTTAATATATGTTAATGGAACCAGGCTTATGTCCAAGTTATTCTACTTCCCTTGGTCTATTCATCATGAAATTTACACACAATGTAAAGGACAACAGGCGTTTTCGAAATATGTCAAAAACTGAAAAATGACATGGAGATATAAGGTTTTGTTCTGACAGCAGTGATAAATAATAATATAAAGATAAGTAATATAAGACAATACAAAAAAAAAAACATTATGTTTGATTAGTCATTTAATATTCAAAATCTATTCTTAATTTGTAACTGATTTAATGGTATGGAATTGGTTCTCCTCAGATCCAGGCAGAACCCAAAGCCAACCCTTCAGAGGATTCTCAGCTGTCCACAGGGTGAGTCAAGATTGTACTTCAGAGACGGTTCCCACTGGAACACACATCCACCAATGACATGTTTAATAATGAATTATCAATAACTGAAATACTAATCTAGCCCACTTACTGGGGGCAGTAATGAGCTGGAGGTTAAGGAACCAGCCTTGTGACCGGAAGGTCGCTGGTTTGATCCCCTAAGCCAACAGTATGTGACTGAAGTGCCCTTTAGCAAAACACCAAACCCCCAACTGCTCCCCAGGCGCTGTGGATAGGGCTGCCCACTGCTCGGAGCAAGTGTGCTCACTGCCCCCTAGTGTGTGTGCATTCACTAGTGTGTATGTGGTGTTTCACTATATGGATGGGTTAAATGCAGAAGTGAAACTTCCCCATTGTGGGACTAATAAGGGTCACTTAATCTTAATCTTTAAAAAAAAGAAAACCTGAACGTCAGTCTAACTGCTCCAAAAGGAGTAAAATACTTTAGTTCACTTCAAATACATAATCTGTTCTAATTTTAATTATTGTTATTATTTTCATCTCCTAGGTTTCCGATGCTTTGTATGACTACGAGGAGATTAATGACATTAGACACCTTCCTTCTTCAGACACTAGAGCGTCCACAGTCTACTCTACTGCTCAACTACCTACAAACCCCTCAGAACCTCCTCAAACTGTTATAACTGATAATGTCCAGTTACCCTCAAGCTGTGATTTCTCAAATCCCATTTATTCTCCTGCTCAGTCACCATCAAACTCTCCTGATCAGGACATCTACTCCACAGCTGAGTTACCCACAATTCCCTCTGATTCCTCAGCAAGTGCCACTCAGCATTCAGCTGGAAAATCTGCTGAAGGTCCAACATACACCACAGTGAATCTCAGCAAGAAAACAGAGAGATCTACTGATACTGTTGCCAGAGCAGCATTTAACAGAGAGGACGACTCGTGTGACTATGATACAGTCAAATGTTAGCCAAGTTTTCCTGTTACACTTGTATTCTCATCGATTCCCACCAAGACCAAGCTGTGTAAATGTGTTAGTATTTGTAATATGCATCATGAAAGGATTCAAATGTTATGTTTCTAGATGAGAAATGAACTGTCAGTATAATTAAGTAAGCACTTTTTTTTTTTGCAGTCTGTTAATAAAATGCAGTTTTCTGTGTTTGATGTAACATATGTATGTGATATAAGCTTGAAATTGTGTATTTTTATTATAAAAATAAAAAAGTCTAGTGTGAGCTTGGTTATCTTTTTAAACAGTTCAGTAAATGCAGTGTGCAGAACCACTAAAATCAGTGTTTTTCACTGAATGTCAGCTGTACTTGATCTTAGCTAATGCAGTTTTCTTATCCTTTGTCTATTTAAAAACAAAACACATTAACAACTACAGAGTTTAATACTCAGTTAAAAATCTTAAGGCTTACAATTCAATAGCTACTTTCTATGATCCAGTAATGTCTATGAAATGAATATGTAAGTTATGTAGCTTTAATTTTTTATGGGGGCAGTCGTGTGCTGGAGATTAGAGAACAAGCCTTGTGACCGGAAGGTCACCGGCTTGATCCCCTGACTGGACAGTACATGACTGAAGTGCCCTTGAGCAAGGCACCTAACCCCCAACTGCTCCCCGGGTGCTGTGGATAGGGCTGCCCACCGCTCCGGGCAAGAGTGCTCACTGTCCCCTAGTGTGTGTGTTCACTAGTGTGTATGTGGTGATTCACTGCATGGATGGGTTAAATGCAGAGGTGGAATTTCCCTGTTGTGGGACTAATAATGGTCACTTAAATCACTTACTAAGGAGGCCTGGTCCTGCCTTTTACCGTTTTGCTATCTGGCATGTTCTGTGATCTACTCTGGTTACATTTTCATGCATTTTGTGAGTCTTGGGCTATTTTGGCATTTTTGAATAATTTTGCCTTTTTATACACATTAAAAATGTTTACCATGCCAATGTCTGGTATATTTTTTTTCTGCATAACATCACCTTTATGACCTGACAATCATTTTTTTTCACTATGATACTGCATTTATAGCCAAAAAATTGCTATAAAAACATAGTACTCAGCAAAGCATTTTAAAAATGAGCTTTTTTATCTGTGCCACTCCTCAAAACAGTTTCTATCAACAATGGGCTACATCACAGGACTTGCATTTTGTCCACTTGCTGGCTGCATTGTCAGGTCCTATTGTGGCTTTGTTGCTGGCATGTATAACTGTGGCAACAGAAACAGGAAACATGGGTTTCCATGGCCGAGCAGCTGCATGCAAGCCTTACATCATCAAGTGCAATGCAAAGCATCAGATGCAGTGGTATGAAGCGCCGCCACTGGACTCTGGAGTAATGGAAACATACACAGATCAAGCATAACATTATTATTATATAACATTATGTGTCTATGCTCAGTGTTTTTTATCAGCTCCACTTACTATATAGGTGCACTTTGTAGTTCTACAATTACAGACTGTAGACCATCTGTTTCTCTGATACTTTGTTAGCCCCATTTTACCCTGTCCTTCAGTGGTCAGGACCCCCATGGACCCTCACAGAGCAGGTACCATTTGGGTGGTGGATCATTCTCAGCACTGCAGTAACACTGACATGGTGGTGGTGTGTTAGTGTGTGTTGTGCTGGTATGAGTGGATGAGACAGCAGTGCTGCTGAATAATATTCATTCTGTATATATCCTGGTAAACTGTAGACAATCAACAATAATGGCATCTACACAGAAAATTTAGACGGTCTCATGGCATCCCTTCATGAGGTCAGGGCTTTGTTGGACTAAAACAGAAAATTAATATAAATGCTGAGCTGCATTAGAAGCCATTGTAAAATACTCGACATATACACACCTATGACCACCTCACAACAGCTGAACTCAGTATTACTGCGCCATGTCACGAAAAAACACTCTAACGCTCCTCACATTGACAACCAAGTGCATTGATGAAGCAAAAAAAAAAACTGTTTTTAATTAGACTGAGGGGCTGACGATTTATTCCCTTAACTAGAACTAGACTGGTCAACTAGCTAACAGGCTAAACAATTCAATCATTAATATTACAGGCTTGAATTAAAGTACCTGCCATATGATTCACTGTAAAACTGCAACATAAAAGTCTAAAAAAAAAAGTCAGATGAATTTTTACACACTTAAAATGTTCGTATTTCAGTCGGATCTGCCTTAAGTAGCATCAAACCCAGGTTGAGTCTCAAACAGCTCTGTACTCACTATGTAGTGTGTTAGCTATGGACATTTTGAAATTCCAGCTTCTACAGCCAAACAGCGCACTAGTTGTCGAGTATGGATGCGGTTGAATCCCAAATAACTATTCACTGTTAGTGATATTACAGACTGTTGGGGTGCAGAAGTCAGTATTTAAATTCCTAAGTAGTGCACCATGTAGGAAGTAGGGAGCCATTTCAGATCCAGCCCCAGTGTGAGTAGTGGGCCGCCGTTAGCTTGAACTTGCAGTGGTAATTTGGTGACCAAAAAAGCACTTAAAAAGAGAACATTTTTGCATTAAACAGTGGTGTGTTATGATGTGTTCATTATTATATGATGAAATGACTGCAATATACAGTGATGGGCGACTGAACGTTCTTCCATTTCAAATCCCCATCCCTGTGATAAAATCACAGTAGCACATGGCCTCCTGTGGCTTATTGCTTAATGACATGTTTATGGACAATATTCTTGCATATTTTTAATTGCTGTTTAGCAAGAATTATGGGCAAAAGTATTGTAACACCTACACATTACACCTACAGAAGCTTTTATGACATCCCATTATAAATCCATAGAGATAAATATGGAGTTGGTCCCCCTTTGCATCTATATACAGCTTCCACTATTCTAGGAAGCTTTCTACAAGATTTTGGAGAGTGTCTGTGGGAATATTTGCGCATTTGTCCAGAGGAGCATTTGTGAGGTCAGACACTGATGTTGGACGAGAGGGCCTGGCTCTCAATTTCAGTTCTAGTTCATCCCAAAGGTGTTCAGTGGGGTTGAGGTCAGGGCTCTGTGAGGGCCAGTCAAGTTCTACCACACCAAACTCACCCAGCCATGACTTTATGGAGCTGCTTTGTGCACTGGGGCTCAGTCATGATGGATCAGAAAAGGTTCTTCCCCAAACTGTTCCCACAAAGTTGGAAGCGTACAATTGTCCAAACGTCTTTGTCTGCTGAAGCATTAAGATTTCCCTTCACTGGAACTAAGGGTTCTAGGCCAACCCCTGAAAAACAACCCCATAGCATCATCCCTCCTTCACCAAACTTTACAGTTGGCACAATCCAGTCAATATGTTTCCACTGCTCCAGAGTCCAGTGGCAGCGTGCTTTACACCCCAACCCCCTGCCCCCACCTCTGACATGTGGCATTGTGCATTTCGATCTTAGGCTTGTTTTGCAGCTGCTCAGCCACGGAAACTCATTTCATGAAGCTCCTAAGGTGCAGTTCTTTTGCTGATGTTGCTTCCAGAGGCAATTTGGAACTCTTTAGCGAGTGATTCAACAGAGGATAGACACTGTGCACTTCAGCACTCGGAGGCCCTGCTCTGATGAGTTTGCGTGGTCTACCGCTGTTGTTCCACCAAAATGCTTCCATTTCACAACAACAGCACTTCTAGCTGTACAGACATTTCACAAACTGACTTGTGGCAGAGGTGGCGTCCTATGACAAGGCCATGTTTAAAGTCACTGAGCTCTTCAGTACAACCCATTTCTACTGCCAGTGTTTGTCTATCGAGACTGAAAGGCTATGTGCTTCATTTTATCCACCTGTTAACAATGAGTGTGGCTGAAACACCTAAACTCAATAATAGTAGGGGTGTCTCAACACTTTTGTTCATATAGTTTAGCTTTATGTTTAGGTATACAGTTATAAAGAACTCTATGTTTTGTATTAATAATGTAGACTTTTTTTTTTAATAAAAACATTTACACTGTGGCTCAGTCAAGTGTCAGCCAATAATGCTTGTGACTGCACCACTTTAAAACAGCACTGCAGTTAATAGGCTGTTCATTTTGTTTTCTTATTGTCACGATCTTTTGGACTAACTTGGCAATCATTTGACAACAGTATGCTGCACACTCTACTAGAGACCAACACAGGAACGAACTATGACAAGTTGAAAAAACAGCCATACCAGATGTTCTTTAGGGCTTTGAAAGCTGTGCGTGGACTTGGATACAATTACCACATATTGATTGTGTTATACAACTCATTATTGTATTGCTTGTTATTGTTTATTGGTTTGGGTTTTGTTAATAAACATGTTCATTATTAAATTCACGAAATTTCTTAATTTCCTGAACCCCCTTCCCTCCAGTCTTTCTCGTAACCACCCGAACACTTTCAGGCACATACATTTTTTTTTTGCTTTTGGCCCTGCAAACTGACATTTATTTCCTTCCGCTGCAGATATTCTACCACAGAAATGAACACACATCGGGTCACTGACAATAAAACTCACCGCATCCTGAACAGCTAAAACCACACATTCTTCATTGTCAGCTACATTTTTTCACACCTAATGTACAGCACGCACAGAGAACATCTGCTCATATTTTGTCAGTTTGTTCCCTTCTGAATGTTTAGATTATTGTTTGTGTCTGATTCTCTAATTCCTGTTCAGGTTCTTCACCTCCAGAATTTCCAGTTTCCTCTGGTGCTGCTTCTGATTGGACTTTGATTCTTCATAGTCACTCTTAGAAACAGAAACAAGACTCAAGGTACCATCATAAACAGAAACATGTATCTTTTAATCTGCATATTCAGATAAATGGGTCATTAAACAGATTTATTAGATACCAATAGGCTCACTAGGCCCTAGTGGAGTAACAATGATGGACAGATGCTGCCCTCTGCTGGCTATAAATCTCTCAGATCAGTTGTACATCCTGTAGCCCTAAAAGAAAACCTAAACATCAGTGTAACCGCTCCAAAATGAGTAAAATAGTTTAGTTCACTTTAAATACATGACCTACTATAGTTTTTATTATTTGTTTCTCTTAGGTTTTTCACGCTTTCTATGATTATGAATACATTAAAAATAATACACACATTCCTGCCTCAGATGCTGGAGTTTTCACAGTCTATTCAACTGCTCAACTACCTACAAACCCCTCAGAACCTTCTCAAACTGTTCACGATAATGTCCAGTTTCCCACAAGCAGTGATTTCTCAAATCCTGTTTATTCTGCTGCTCAGTTACCATCAAACGTTCCTGATCAGGACATCTACTCCACAGCTCAGTTACCCACAATTCGCTCTGATTCCTCAGTGAGTGCCATTCAGCATTCAGAGGTTACACTTGTATTCTCATCCATTTCCACCAAGAATGAAACGGTATGTTTCCTTTCACACAAAGGAATGTTTACTTCTGGAACTGTGTGTGTTAGTATTTGTAATATGGTTCATGAAAGGCTTCACATTTTATGTTTAGAGATGAAAAATGAGCTGTCAGCTTATGTGAGCACATATTTCTTGCAATCTGTTAATAAAATGCAGTTTTGTATGTTTGTTGCAATACATGTGTGCGATATAAGCTTGAAAATGTGTGCTTTTATTCTTACTTATTTTTTAAGTATTTCTGAAGAAAACTGTGTTTCACTATGTTCATTTGAAGACTGTAAGAAATAGAAAAGACTAGTTTGGCCTCATCTATACCAGTTATCTTAAATACTTAAGTAAATGTAGTGTACAGAAGCACTAAAATCAGTGTTTTTCATTGAATGTCAATTATAGTTTATCTTAGCTAATGCACTTCTCTTATCCTTTGTCTATTCTTAAATAGTTAACCACTATAGAGTTATTATTCAGTAAAAATCTTATGGCTTATTATTAAATAACTACTTTGAATGATTCAGTAACTACAGTGAAATGAAGCGTCAATACTGAAGATGTCTGCTTACAGTTCACTGGGTGAAGCGAACAAGGTGTTGTTAATTTTCACTGTTACCATTTTATTGCTATCTGATGTGATCTATAATGTAATCTGGATACATTTTAATGCATTTTGTGAGTCTTGGGCTATTTTGGCCGTTTTTGAGTAATTTTGACTTTATATACCGCATAAAAAAATGTTTCCCATGCCAAAATATATTTTGTTCTGCATAACATCATCTTTATGACCTGACAATCATTTCTTCACTTTCACACTGTATCAACCCAATAGACCCCAAAAACACATACAAAACACATACAATCAGTTTTGAAAAATTAGGTTTTTTTTTTACTACAAAAAATACAAACATGCTCAAGAAGGTGTTTAAAAAGCTTGAGCTTTTTTTTTTTATCTTTGTCACTGCTCCAATATGTAGTATATCAAGTATATCACAGGACTTGCACTTCCATTGTTTGAGCTTCCCTTTTTATCCACTTGCTGGCAGCATTGTCAGGTCATAGTGTGGCTTTGTTGCTGGCACATGTAGGAGTATAGTCATTGCTTCTGGTGATGGGAACTCCTGTCTTGTCCACTGGAACACCAGTTCAACCTGGAAGTCATTGTGCATCACGTGCTGTAGCTGTAACATGAGCTGCTGATATCACAGTACAGGCCATTTGTTGTTGCAATGTCCACAAAGTGCAGGGACAGGGTACGATACCAGCAAGCAGTTCTGCTAGGGCTACTGGATTAGTTGGTCTGATAGATTGACCCCACCCATGTTCTTATTATAGGCAATGATGGGAGCAGGGCAGGGAATGTCTTTCATGGTCCAGTATCCATCTTCATCCTTCATTCTCTGCTGCACCACCTCAATAGAAAATGCTGGATGGATTGTGAAGCACAGTGACACTTTGTACTTCCTTCCCCTTGCTTTTCGCTTCATACTTGTTAGTGTTTTTGCAGATGGAGCTCATTGTATCAGTGGAGAAAAACAACAAGAACAAGTCCATTGGTGAATGTGTGGAATGTGTGTTCACCTGGACTCCTGGTGTTTTGTGGGGCAGTATCAGGATAATTTTCTGCTTTCCGAGGCTCAGAGCTGTGGTATGGCTGTGCTGACTGGGCTTATAGAGATCTTGACCTGGTTTGATTCCTCCTCCCATAGTCCCTGTAGGCCTCCATGTGCTTGTTGTAGAGGTTGTAGGTGTTACTGGCTGCTCATCATCACTACACATGACAATAGCACATGTAGAAGGTTGAAGATTATTTAATAAATATGTACAGGTAGGGTTGCACTACTAATTGCTTCAGCATTGTAATTGCGATGTGCTCACTTTGGCCCTCCCCAACCTCTCAGAACACTCTGACTGTAGAAAACAGGCAGCAGATTTACACATTTTTCTTCATATGACAAAAAGTGATGAAAATGTTAAGATAAATGCAACGCCAGCCCCATTTCATGTTTTGTACTTTACACATGTGTATGATTTTATATCAAATTTATATTATCCTACCTCTGTTTTACTTGTTCTTTCAACAAAAAAATTGAATTTCACGCCAGCACTTTCGACAGAAGCTGAATTGATCACACAGGCGTGATCGGCGACTTGCAAATTTCACTGAAATTATGAAATATGATATTTAGCAAGTTCAGTACTTCATGACAAAGGCTAATTGTGCAGCATTCATCAAACACACATAATACATAGTTTAAACTGTGTGCATAGTGTTTAGCGTGTGTGTTCATATTAAGCTCTTTAGAATTAGTGCCCAGATAGTGAGCATGTATCTGCCCACTGCATTGATAAGATTGGCATCCCACTGACTGCATGCCACTACCAGACCACCCTTGGACTACCCAGATTATTGTCCTGCATACAAGGCCTAACAATTTTAAATCTTATCAAACAGATTTTAGATGCACACAGACTTTTATTTTGGAAAATAAACCAATATGTGTGTGCACATTGTTTTGTCGCAAGTACATAAGAATAAATAAATATTTTCTTTGTTAAGTGCATATAATAAATAAGCGGTTAGTAGTCTTGTTCACAGCCCTGTTAAATTTACTTTTGCATGGAGATCATTGGGAAGAGTTCTCACTCCCCACCTGTGTGACTAATAATAATTAATGTTTTTGTCCTCTAGGTGGCAGAACACTAAAGGTAAAACAAGGGCTATTTAGGGCACTGACATCCACTCTTTCAGTGGATGATTCTTAAAGAATCATGATTGTGAATGAAGTGTGAAAAATGCTCTTTACATGTGCAGAACTTGCACATGTAAATATAAAGGATTTGAGTCTATTAAAGGTTTTCATTTCTAGAACAATATGCTTTTCATTTCTAGAACAATTGCTTTCTCTGTATCTCTCTTTAATCAACTTTCATCCACAGTTTCACACATTGTGCTCTAGACAGCAGTAGAGGCCTTCTGGCATCGACCAGCAGAGAACCGATGACATGAACATGGATATTTATCCATCATTTAGCACATAAACATTCACTAACAGAGAGCTGAGTTGCAGATAAACATCAGTGTTATTTTTATTGGCAAATCTGAGCACCATGTATGAGTTCACTGAGATATCTACTAAAGTTTAAGTGGAGACATGTGAGATTACTGGTCTCTTTTTGTCAGGAGGAATATTTTTGCAGCAGTAGAGACCTAAGCAAAAGTCTTTCTATCTGGAGAAAATACACAGATACTAAGAGGAACTCTCCATTTCTCTTTCCTATGGGATTGTTCAAGTAACATAAGCCAAATGGATAAACTGACAACAGTACAACAGTGAAGTTAAACAGTGGCATGCACATTGCAGCAGGCTAAAGCTAACAAAAACACGAAGCAACATGGAAGCTGCTTCAACTTTCAACACCAGTGTTTACTTTAGTGCAGTAAATTTCATTGAAAGCATCTCAAAACATTTTAGTTGTAACTTTGCTCCTACACATCCACACGTCACCTTACTGGGAGGTTTTTTTATCTTGTTCTCAGGGTCAAAAAAGGAAGTGGGCATGACCTCGATTTCTCTTTGTGATGCAGCTAAAGCCACAGTACAGTCAGAGAGTCACGGAGTACAGAGAGGTGGTGTCTTTGAGAAGGTGTAAGTTTCAGGGCCTCTGGTATCTGTCTGAGCTGGTGTTGATCTGTGAACCTGAACTCAGAATGAAGATCCTCCTCGTCTTTACCCTCTTCCTGATTTCAGGTAAGGAGATGCTCTCCTAAATAATCATCACAACCAGTAGAGTCAATTGAAACCTTTACTCAGATGGACATTTGTCCTTTTTTAGTAGGTGGAGGAGAATCAGAGAGAGTGACAGGATATTCAGGAGGAGGAGTCCTCATCAAGTGCACATATGAGAGACAATACATATCAACCCCAAAATATCTCTGCACGGGTTTATGGCCCTTTCTGACGAATCAAATTTGGACAAACGGTAAAAATGAGTGGATGAATATGGGGAGATTCTCACTGTTTGATGACACCAGAGCTGCACAGTTCTGGGTGTTGATCAGAGAGCTCACTGTAGAGGATTCTAGAACGTACTACTGTGCAGTTGGAAAATCTGGCATTGACGTCTACACACCAGTGAACCTGAATGTAAAGGAAGGTGAGTCTCTCTGACCTATGCACAGTCTTTCTCATAATTGTTCATATACGATCATGATGGTGTGATTTTTAGACTGTGTCTATGGTCCTTGGCATTCAAATGTATGTTGCAAGAACTGGACTATGATGTTGGCAGATCTAGCTTTTAATTCAAAGTTATTTAGTCTTGCTATAGATACTTCCAATACGGACTTCTTTTGTATTTGTTTAAGTTGGAATACTATATATATGCTGCCTGCCTTAACGTCCTTTTCCTCACAAACATAATCTGAAAATACAGTCCACATATATTTGAATATCAACAAAGTTGTCTAGACATGGATCATCTTGTAGCAGAATGATGAGAAGAAAACAGCATTAGAATGTGAGGAACTGATCATGGTCTAATACATTACACCTCATTTGTCAAGCATGGTGGAGGTAGTGTTATGGCGAGGGCATGTATGTCTGCCAGTGGAACAGGCTCTCTTTTATTTATTGATGATGTAACTGCTGGGAAAAGCAGCAGGCCTTGAGTTATGAAGAGTATGGGCCTATATTGCTTACTCAGATTCAGCCAAAAGCTTCAAATCTCATGGACAGTACATTGCAGTGCAGACCGACCTTCACCCAAATCATAGAGAAAGCAGCGTAAGGCCTTTTCAAAGCAATGCAGAGGAATGTTCTAGTCAATCACCTGACCTTAATCCAGTTGAGCGTGAATGTCACTTACTGAAAGTAAACCTGAAGGTAAAACAGTCCAAGAACAGCCAGGAACTGAAAACACTTGCAGTAAAGGCCTGGCAGAGTATCACCATGGAACAAACCCAGCATCTGGTGATTTCTATGGGATCCAGACTTCAGGCAGTAATTGACTACAAAGGATTTGCGACCAAGTATTAAAAATGTCAATTTAGTTTAATATGATTGTTAGTTTTCTAATTACTTTTGAGCCCCTAAAAAGGGGTTATACATGAAAATCATTGTAATTCCTACACTGTTCACCAAAGTTAGATATAAACAACCTCAAAGCTGAAAGTCTGCATATTAAGCTAATATTTACAAGTTCAGCTCCAATATGCTACGGTAGACAGGTCAAATAACAATAATTTGATGTCCTAATATTTGTGGTTCTGACTGCACCTTTAAAAGACAAGTGTGGTCTACAGAGAATCGACAAAATATGCAGATGAACAAGTCTTACTCAAGTGCACATGTGTTTTTATATAAACTGTGAAAGTGAATGTAAGCATTTTAAACTGGTTGTTTATGCTTTACAGGTCAATACCATGCGAAGAGCATCAATGTGACGGTTCATGTAGGAGACATTCAGAACATCAGCTGCAGATACCCACGATTCCCTGAGTTTCTCTGCAGGAGAGTGGGCCATGATAATTGTAATCATAATATAACTGTTAATGAGAGTAAAATATGGATGAATGAGGGAAACCTTTTTCTGCGTGATGATGGAAAGGAAATCTTGACCGTGAACATCAACAGTCTGACTGAGGGAGACTCTGGTGAATACTGGTGTGGAGCTGAATTTGACTGGACATCTGACCATGGATACAAGGTTTATATTAAACAGGACAGCCTTACTAATTCTGGTGAGTACATATACATAATTTTGAATTAAAGTTTATGGTCCCACTTTATATTGTCTCTAATAAATGCGTAGTTACATGTGAACAACATATGCAACTATAATGTAACTGCTAAAGATTTAGTGACTTTTACAGTTGGATTACAGAAGTACATCTTATGTAATTACACATGTGTATCAACTTCAGTTTTGCCTCAAGTAATTACACAAGTATATCTTAATAGTTGTAACAGCCTATTCTCTCTCATGTAGTTACACAAGGGTAATAACATAAGTGTAAATACATTTGTAATCAGACTGGAAGTCTGAAAGTTTTTCATTTCAGCAGTAAAAAGAAGTATGTAATAACTTACATTAAGACAATATTTACATTGTATCTGCCAGCTTTCCATACATTACGCTAGTGTTTATGCTGCTAGTGCTGTAACACTGTAACCAGTTTCAGCTTTAAACAATTCTGTAATGTGACAGAACAGCAGACGTCCCCTTATCTTAACATGTAACTTTTATGACATTAATTGTGTTGCATTTCCCCCAAAGCAATGTCTATATTACCACTGCGTTATTACACAGTAACTACATAGTAACTACACAGGAACTGTTCACTTGTTTTACAGTGTACCTTTACACTACACTACAGGAAAGTTCCTGTGTAGAAGATACACTTGTGTAGTTACATAGGCCGTACTTCTGTAATCCATCTGTAATATTGCCTAAATCTTCAGTAGTTACAGTGTTGTTGCACGTTATTCATGTGTAACTACACAGTTATTAGAGACACAATATAAAGTGAGACCATATTTATACTTTGACAATCTTTTTATTTTGTTTGTTTTTGTTTCTAAATCAATTTAGGCATTACATTTAGCCCTGTCGAGATTATGAAATTTCTGCTGACAATTAAGTGCCATATAAGTAATTGTGATTAACAGTTTAATTATATTTTTGCCACCCTATAAATGTGTTATTTACAAACGACACTCACTGCCACCCTCTAAAGGTATTATTAACAAACATCAAATAAACAAACATTATACGCCGCAGCCCTCTAAAAAGTTTTACTAACAAAGATTGGATAACTAAACGTTACTCACCGCTGCTCTCAGAAGGCATCATTAACAAAGATCAAATAACCAAATATTTCTTGAGTGATTCATCACTTTCAATCCAAATTTAAGCCTTAATTTCTTCATCTCTGTTAACAGATCAGACAGCAACATCATCCTTATCACCATCAAGCACTCCACAGACTCCAATAACAGCCTCCTTTTCAACGTCTAAAACTACAGTGAACTCCTCGTTTGAGACATCAACAGGTATAATATTCATACTGTAAATATCCTCATCAATTGTACCAAATTAGCAATAAAGGCATCCACACAGATACTTTAAACAAACTGACTTTTATTTTCCTCACCTGCAGATATTCTTCCACAACCATCGGCAAACATCACTTCAGTGACCACAAAACCAACCACATCCTCAACTTCTAAAACCACACCGTCTTCATTCTCTGCTACAGGTGATTAACACTTAGTGTACAGTTCACACAAAGAAAATCAGCTCAAGTTTGATCACTTCTAAATGGTCATATTATTGTTCGTTACTGAATTTTGATTCTGTTTCTCCATCACCACCATTTCCAGTTTCCTCTGTGGCGACTCTCTTGGCTGCGATTCTGGTGGTGTTTCTAATTGGACTCTTTGTCTTCATGCTTATTATTATGCTTATTCTTTATCTACAAAAGAAGTGTAAGACTCAAGGTACCATCACGCACAAAAACATGCACATACACAAAATGGTGACTCACTCATGCACACATTGTTATCTGGGCCACAGGTTTAACCATAGGAAAAAATGTTTAGTGGTGGTTAACTCATTTACGATAGTTGCTGGTCACGTTATGGGTTTTCCTTAAGAAATGTCAGTTTTCAGATCTGTATGTTCAGACGTCAGTGCAGCATGAGTCATAAACACATTTAAAGAACAAAAAACTCACTAGGCCTCAGTGAACTAACAGTGATAGATAGTTGCTGCCCTCTGGTGGCAATAAATGAACATGGATGAAAACAAATAGATTAAGAACACATTCTCAGATCAGTTCCACATTCAGTTTATCTTTCAAGTAAGTGATGCTATATATATATATATATATATATATATATATATATATATATATATATATATCAAATTAGTTCAATGCTATGGAATTCTTTCTCCTCAGGTCCAGCCTCAACCCAAAGCTAACCTGTCAGAGAGCCCTCCTATGATAGGGTGAGTCAAGATTTTATTTCAAAGGAGGTTCATACTAGAACATGTTCCCACCAAGGAAATATTTAATAATAAATAATCAATAACTGGAGGAGTAAAATAGTTGAGTTCACTTTAAATACACTTGACTTACCCTAATTTTCATTATTATCTTTTTTATCTGTATTTTTTATCAGATTTTTCTATCTGTCTATGAGGAAATTAAAGACATTCCTGTCTCAGATGCTGGAGTTTCCACAGTCTACTCTACTGCTCAACTACCTACAAACACCTCAGAACCTTCTCAAACTGTTTATGATAATGTCCAGTTACCTGCAAACCCCTCAGAACCTTCTCAAACTGTTGATGATAATGTCCAGTTACCCACAAACCCCTCAGAACCTTCTCAGACTGTTGATGATAATGTCCAGTTACCCACAAACCCCTCAGAACCTTCTCAAACTGTTTATGAAAATGTCCAGTTACCCACAAACCCCTCAGAACCTTCTCAAACTGTTTATGATAATGCCCAGTTACCCTCAAGTTGTGATTTCTCAAATCCTGTTTATTCTCCTTCTCGGTTATCATCAAGCTCTCCTGAGTTACCCACAATTCTCTCTGATTCCTCAGCAAGTGCCACTCAGCATTCAGCTGGAAAATCTGCTGAAGGTCCAACATACGCAACAGTGAATTTCAGCAGGAATGCAGATAGTTCTACTGATGCTGTTACCACGGCAACCATCAACAAGGAAAACGACTCACGTGATTATGATACTGCTAAGAGTAGCTAAGTTTTCATGTTACACTTATATTCTCATCTGTTTCCACCAAAACAGGACTGTATGTTTCCTTTCACACAATGAAATTTTACTTCTGGTATGAACGTGGTGCATAAAAACATTTGAAATTCCACATTTATAGATGAGAAATGAGCCTTAAGCTTTGCTTGCTATGTGTATTAATAAGTGGACACATATTTCTGTAAGGTTTGCAATCCAGCTTTAAAATAGTCCAGTTTAACCTCAGTTATCTTTTAAAACAGTAGAGTTGTGTAGTAGTGTGTAGTGTGCAGAACTACTGTAGTTCAGCTTAGCTCATGCATTTGTCTTATTCTTTGCCTATTATTTTAAACTATATCCTCTTAAACTCTAGATTTATTATTCAGTTACTAATGCTAATGCTTATTATACAGTAACTACTGTATAATAAATATGTAAGTCATGTAGTTACAAGACTGACAATGTCATTGGACTTTACTAATAGTAATGTTAGTACCATTTTATTGCAATTAAGATGCTTTATTTTGGCAATGCAGCTATTCAAACCCGATTGCAGTTATGAAATATGATACATATTCAGGATTCTATTGAGTTTGTACAGAGTGTGTAACAATGGCTAATTGTATAACATACCTCAAAAAAGTATTATTAAACACTCTCTATCGATATCCCTGTTTAACCTTTCCTGCTGATTTATTCAACCACCCTTAATAACACTTAAGGGTGCCTACACACCAGACAATGCAAGAATGGAGCTGTAGATGTATACACATGCAGATCTTGTCCATCTAGAAGGCCTGTATGTGGCTGGAGTGGGGTGCAGTTTGTACAGTTCAAAATCCAACAAGAAACAGAACATTTGGACCAGAAGCAAAGAAATATGGGACAATGAAAGAAAATGTTGGCCACATACGTCTTTTCATCCGTCTTCTTCCTGCACATTTCTATTGGTTGACATGGCCCCATGTCAGACTTTCTTGCAGTAAAAGTCGAAATAGTTTGAACTTTTTCGTCACTCGACGAAGCGTCTTTTCACTTCATACAGGCACGTTTCTAGTCCGAGAGAGCCGATGCAGCATCCTAACTGAAATACACTGGGAGGCTGCGTTTCTGACGCTACGTCAGCCTCTAGTGTGTAGGCACTCCAAAAGCAGAAGTTCTCTGGCATAACTCTTTGAAATTTTACAATTACATTATACACTTAATCCCCATTATTATACAGTGAAATCAGTTTAAATATCTGTTTAAGTCAGGTCAAGTCAAGTCAAGTCGTCTTTATTTATAAAGCACATTTAAAAGACAGCGAGTGCCGGCCAAAGTGCTGTACAATAAAATCATATAACACAAACCTATTTTAAAATAATACAAAAAACTAGACATAAAAGAAACGAAAAACAGAAAAGCAATAAAACAATCATATAAAAGAATCTGATGACAAGATGAGTCAACCAAGATAAAACAGACAACTAATAGCATAATCCGCTCAGGACTCAAATGCCTGAGAGAAAAGAGGTTTTTAAGTTGGACTTAAAAGTGTCCACTGTGGCTGATTCCCTTATAAAAAGTGAAAGATTATTCCAAAGTTTTGGAGCAGCTACAGAAAAGGCCCGATCACCTTTGAATTTCAGCCGAGAGCGAGGAACATCTAAACACAACTGGTTAGAGGAGCGTAAAACACGAGGGGTCAAGCGAAGGTGAAGGAGGTCAGAAATGTAACTTGGAGCCAGGTTATGAAGAGCTTTAAAAACAAACAATAAAACTTTAAATTCCACCCGGTATTTTACTGGAAGCCAATGCAGTGAAGCCAGTACAGGGGTTATACTTTCCCTTGTCTTGGTACCAGTCAGGAGCCGTGCAGCTGCATTTTGGACCAGCTGCAGACGTGACAGGCTTGACTGACAGATACCCAGGTACAGTGAGTTGCAGTAGTCAACACGAGAGGAAATAAAAGCATGGATAACTGTTTCCAGGTCCTTAAAAGACAGGATGCTTTTGAGCTTAGCAATGTTTCTAAGGTGATAAAAACTTTCTCTAACAACTGTGCTGATTTGTTTCTCAAAGTTTAAGTTAGTGTCAAAGATGAAACCAAGGTTCTTTACGTGGTCATGCACATTAGTAATCAAAGGTCCCAGATCATTGGCTATAACACTAACCAAGGCAGGATTTCCAAAGATAATAATGTCAGTTTTGTCTTGGTTTAACTTGAGGAAATTCTTAGACATCCAGCACTCAACATCCCTCAAACAATCAAACAAGAGATGTAAGGAACAGTTTTTGCTTGGGTTAGGCGGAAGGTATATATCTGCGTGTCATCCGCATAGCAATGGTATGAGATATTGTATTTCTGGAAGATAGACTTCTACTGGTGAATGTTTATGCTGTATAGAATTAAGAAGTTTAAATGGCTCCGTCCCCTTTGAGAGTCTTCCAGAAACACTTCTTGTTGTGTTGTGACTGGCCTTGCAGCCTGTCTGAAGCTGCATATGTTTTCTGAGCTAGCAGATCATTCTATTTACCCTTAGGTCACTTCTAGCCTTCATAACTTCAGAATGGTTTAAGATAAAAACCTGATCCACATATCAGGACAATCAGCAGACCCGCCCCTAACCAGCAAGCAAGACATCAGTGAGCTGTGACGTCAGCATCAGTGAGTAATTCGGCTCAGAAAATCACCTAAAATCCTGATATTATTGCTCTGCTGTTTGGCCTTCAAAGGGTTAAAACAGCAACATGATTCACACATCAGATCACTCAGCAGACTCTGCCTCACCATCCAGAGTGATTTCATCCACCTGTGACCGTCCATCAGCCAGAAATCCAGCTCCAAAATCACCCAAACCCACTCACTACTGTTATACTACATCTCTGCTTTTAGCCTTCATATTATAAACAAAGGGCTTTCAGTTTACATTGATGTTGAGTATTAAAAATATCTGATATTAAATATGCAGCTTAATGTGTAATTAAAAATAAAGCATGACTTGCTGTGTATCAGAGTTTTAGCACTCAGCCTGAATCGAAGAGGACAGAAAATCAATAAAAAAACATGTCCGCCTTATGCTAATTGTTTATTTTTACTCATAATAACCAAGAGAATGAATCACCATCTATATTATTGCACTTTCAGCTCACAGACATTCCAGACTAACCATTTCTGAAAAGATTACAACTGCACTTGTTTTCAAGATCTCTTTAATTAAAAAAATACAAAAATTTAGCAGGTGCTAGGTAAATCAGATTGATCAGAAATGACCCAAATTCATAAAGATATCAAATTTCTCTTAGCATTTACATGTCAAACAATGGAATATCTGAGCAGCCCAGGGTCTCCTGAAAAATAACCTCACATGGCATGTGTGACTGTCACATGTAAATATTTTAGAATTGCAATTGTAATTGACCCAAAAATACCAAAACAAATTCCCAAAATTTTAGGTTTCTAAAGGTTCATTTGCAAAGCATTTGTAAACTGCGGTGCATATGTTGTCATTTGTCATCCATCAAAACCCATCTGTGCATCTATCTATTTAACTCTGTTTGTATCCCTTTAGACAGTTACTCAGCTTGTACTGTAGATGGCAGTAGAAGAGTACTAAGTACAGAATCATACATACATCGTCTAAACCGCTTATCTTTCTGGGTCGCGGTGGGGTGCTGGAGCCTATCCCAGCTGTCATTGGGCGGAAGGCAGGATACACCCTGGACAGGTCGCCAGTCCATCACAGGGCAGACATACACATTCACACCTAGGGGCAATTCAGTATGTCCAATCAGCCTGACTGCATGTTTTTGGACTGTGGGAGGAAACCCACGCAGACACGGGCAAACTCTACACAGAAATGACCCTGGTCACCCGGCCGGGAATCGAACCCAGGCCATTCTTGCTGTGAGGCGACAGCGCTACCCACTCCGCCACCGTGCTGCCCTAAGTACAGAATCAGTGATATGAATATAAAGTTGTATGTAAATGTTTGGGTCTCCTGGGTCAAATTACAAGTTTTATTGATTTTGTAAATGAAAATAAGCAAAACCATCCTCTACAGAGAACACATATCTGCACATTTTAATGCACAATTACTGTTTATTTGATGAATTTTACATATTGAGAAAAGAAATGATAAAATGTGACCTGTGTAAATGTTATTTTTTATTCATTTTTATTCAAGATGTTAAAAGAAATTAAGCCTGAACATTTGCAGAAATATGTCATACTTAAGCCTGTTCTCTGTAGAGAAAGTATTAACTTATTTTCACTTAGGAAATGAACAAAATATCCAATTTCAGTTCCAACTTTTGCACATGGCCATATATCCAAGCCAAGACCAAAGAAGAGCTCACACAGAAAACACTGAAGACCTTTTGAAAAGGGAACTCTGAAATTATCGTTTCTGTAAACAAACTGTGGGAGGTTTGTATGACCTGTAATGGGTATAAGGCTGGTGAGGGAAACCAAATCAAGTTCAATGGAAGCTGCTTTATCTTGGCTCAAGCTGGACTTTACTGGATGTTAAATCAAATATCATAAATA